TTTTATGTCTTAAGAAAGTATGTACAGAATATGTGCTGCCTTGGCCATTCATGTGTCTGTTGGCACGCTCTTTGATTGATTCCCTCTAACTTGAGTTCCAGTTTATCCAGTATTCCTTGCAGAGATATATCAGCTGAGATCCTGAAAAATATTTACATGCATGACTCTTAAGGCTGAATTCAGTTGAAGTTGGTCAAGCTTCACAAGCTGGTGAGACTGAAATGGATGTTGTTCAGGTATGGAGTTCAGGAAGACAAAGACAAGCCTGTTGTCTCTGATCTACAGGCACTTTTTTTAGTCTTTTATTTTCAGCATGTGGGCAGTCCTGTGCCTTTTATAAACTTCTCAAAGCATAGGTCCAGCTTACTATTCAGGGCATCAGCTGAACACATACCAGAACCCTGTAATGTGAGAAATAAAGTAGCAGTCCCCCGTGTAACTACTCTGTCTTGAAAAGTAAATCTAAGCACAAGCACTGTTTATGTTTAATAATGAGTTATTAGCAGAACTCCTTCCTACGGTTCACGCCAACAACTCTGGCACAAAGTGCCACTACCAGTGATGTTCATACTCTCTGATTGCAAACACTACTGTAGCCTTAAGGATGCAGGCCAGCACCTGTTGCTAATGCAATAAATATGGACTTGAAATCAAGTTTTAAAATAGAAAAAATTCAGTGTCTGGGTGTTAAGGGTCCAACCTAAGTAAGTTTTCCAAAGAGCCATCTGGTCTTCTGCCATATCTTCTGGTTCACCCACAGACCGGTTTCCCTTCAGCTTTGTTGACATCTCTCTGCTTAGGTAATATCATGACTCTCCGCCAGGTTTATCTCATTATTACAAAATCCTTAATACTGGGCAGGAAGAGGTTAAAAGTTCTCTCTTGACCTTACAGGAAAGAAACCTTATTTCAACATGACTACAGATTTGTTATTTCTTTTTTCATCAGTGCTGTGTTGCCAAGGTGTATTCATCATGAGTTCCAATATTTGATGTCCTGAAAAACGGGACCTAAAATATAAAACCAAAGTGCTGATGTCCCAGCTCTCATTTTCAAGTGGTTAAACAAGAATCTCAGCCTTCACTTAAGAAAGACATTTCAAGGCTCAGCATTGTTGAGAAGTAATTGGAAACACCTGAAACACTTGAACACTTGAAAATTACTGCAAGTGAAAAATATTGGAAGTGCTTATATATTCTGCAAATTGAGAAATCAGAATATCTTTAAAAATAGAGCTCATTATTTTTATTTTTTAACAGAAGTCCCATGGTTTTTAAGTTACTCTTGAGATTTAGGAACAAGAGCAGTCAAGTCCTTCTCTTTGACTGTCTGTTTTCCCAAATTACTTACGCTGTTCTGTTATTCAAACCTCTCCTCAAGCTGAGCGGATCGAATGAAGGACGTGGGTTTGTCTTAGCACCTGCCTTTGCTGAGTTTCAAGTTAAAGGATACCCACAAAGGGAGTCTGGTGCTTGTTGGTGTTTCTCTTCTACAGCCAAGCCACCTTACTTCACCTTTTTAATTTCCATTTAGAAAAGCTCAAAAGGTTCTATCTGTTTCTTGAAGCTTGCTGTGTTTCCCTTTGTGAATCAAAGATTTTCCTGCCCTAGTTTATCTAAAAAAAATTGCTGACAAGTATGTCATCTGCAGCCCTTGCAGCATGGCTGGGTCAATGCTCAGTATTTACAAGGGAATATTTTTCTCTCAGATGTTTGAATTCAATCCATACTGTTGTTATTTATTAAATAAATAAAAAATTATTTCCTGATGTCTTATTTATTAAAGACTAAGGATTTATTTTAAATGTTAGGCTTTGTGTTTACTTTTAGGTCAGGAAGACTTTTACTCCATATAGTACAAGTGCAGGTGTGATGCTTCTGTGCCTTGGAGCACAGGAGAATGAAGAAGTGCAGTGGGCTCCCTGCACTGGGCATCTGTGCTGTACTTGGTCTGACTGGGCACAACTCTTCATTTCCCTGCAATGGCATCTGATTTGTGCCAGCAGGAGTGAAAGGTGGCTCAGGTTTGGTGTCCTAAGGTGTCCTAACCAGGTTGGAAAGCTCACTTTAGCAGAATGGCTTTAGGAAAGTTAAAACAAACTTGATGAGGTTTTGAAGCAGGCAAACTTTGTGAGACAGGCTCATCATCACCTCACTCTGTGCTAAGGAATTTGGGCTGGAATCTTAACAGCTTTGGATCAGTGTTTTCCCATACGGAAGGGTTAAGTCAACATTAGAAGTGGACACTGCAAGTATAAGTTTTTAGATAAAAACTTAGATAAGGGCTAAGTTCAGTTCCTAATTTTGCTAACTAGTTGTTCTAGGACTTCATGGGAACCATTCTTTCTCTGCCTCTGTTCTGATTTTTGGATTTTCTTCTGGTCCATATCCCATTTCTGCCTTCCCTCAAGATACATTCTGTTTCCCACCCACACCTTTCCTCATCTGAGAATTACTTAACTTTCTGAAGAGGAGTTCTGTGAAATGTATCCTACACAGATGCACTGCTAGGGTGGAGCTGGGAATAGAGCATGGGTGGAAACAAGGGACTGGGACAGGGATGAGGGAGAACAGAGGCATGAGCCAGCAGTGTGCCCACATGGCCAAAAAGACCAATGGCATCCTGGTCTGTATAAAAAATGTTGTGTCAAGCAGTACTAAGGAAGAGACTGTCCCTCAGTACTTGACACTTGACACCGGTGAAGTTGCACCTCAGATTCTGTGTCCAGTTCTGGGCCCCTCATGAGGAGAAATATGTTGAGATTGTGGAGTCAGTCCAGAGAAGGGCAATGAAGCTGGTGATGTGTCTGGAGTACAAGTTCTATGAGGAGCAGCTGAGAGAATTGGAGTTGTTCAACCTGGGAGAAGGGGAGGCACAAGGGTGACCTTATCACTCTACAACTATCTGAAAGAAGAGTGTAGCAAGGTGAAGGTCAGGCTGCTCTTCCACACTGTGCCAGGGGAGGTTTAGGCTGGACATCAGCAAGACTTTTTTCACTGAAAGAGTGATTAGACATTGGAGTGGGCTGCCCAGCAAGGTGGTGGAGGCATCGTCCCTGGACACGTTCACAAAATGACTGGACATGGCACTTAGTGCTATGGTGTTGTTCTCATGACAGCATTCCATCACATGTTGGTCTCAATGATCTTGGAAGTCTTTTCCAACCTTAATGATTCTATGTTATGGGACAATATGACACTGCAGCTCCAGGACAAGAGACCAGAACTGCTCTTTTCCAGTTTAAGATGATATTTTACTGTCCCATCAGAGGCCTTCATAAGCCTGTGGTGTGCACAGAGAATGAAGAGCAGCCTAAGTAGTCAAGACAAAGTTGTGTGGGAGATGGGCTTCTGTCTAGAGCAAGTATTCTCAGGGATGATCTTCCTGTGTCTAATTTTAGTGCACAGCCTTTTCCACTGATTCCCTGGCATGAGTGCTTTCTCTTCTGGTGCTCTACTGTTTGGGGTTCTTTGGCTTCCTTTGCCTGTCTACCAGAGTCAGTGATCAAGCTTCTCCAGCTTCCCTAAGCTTATCAAAGTCTCTTTCTCACTGTTATCTACATATCTCAGCAACTGGCTCTCACAGAGCTCCCTGATCACCTTTATGGTCTCTGAGAGTGACAGAAGGTTTGTTTGTGTGCAAATTAATATGCTGATGTAAGGAAAATCAATAAAGAACAAGGTCACAGCAAAGCAAATCCTATAATTCCTTTATTGGACAAGAGGGTATGCTTCTAAACATGCTAAAAATGCTTGGAATATGGAAACTCATTGGCAGACACCACTGTTTCCTATGAAGTTTTGCAGCCTTAAATTGGCACTTGGAGTCATCATAGCCCTTGAGCTAGCAGCACCAAAGCCATTGCTAAGTTCACCATTGAATTCATCAACTAAGAAACTGAGCCCTAAATTCTGACTTGTTCAAGAGTGAAAATCCTACCTCTGATCTTTCTGAAACAGATCAATATTCTTTCTTGTTGGACTGCAGCTGCACAAGTGTTGTGCAGTGTTGAAACATGGTCAGTTTATACTTTATAGGCAATAAGATCTGCAAACTGGAGGAACTAAGGTCACCTAAATCACTAACTTTGTCTCTTCTAAGCCAAGATTGTATTACCAAAGGAAGATGGATGTCGTACAGGCACCCACAGTGGAAACCAAATCCACCTGAAATTCAGACTCCTGAAGAATGTCATATCCATATTTACTGAGCACAAATGGCCTGACCTTCTCCTGGGTTTGCCCAGACCAGAGTTCTTGGGTAGTTTTATTACCAGATTATTTATTACCAATATGAAAGAGACTCTTAGGAAAGCTGGGCTAGTCTTCTGTTTTTATTGATGGATCTACTCTCATTTTTATCAGATACTGTTGTCTTCCAGTTGTAAATACCTGGAATTCTCCTGTGTGGGCAGACCTTTGTTGCAATGGAGTTATGCTGAGGGCTGTAACAGGTAATGCCAGGTGCAGCCCATCAGACACCTCCCATTATATTTTCTGCACACTTCCAGCTTTGAGAAGCTGGTTGGGGTCACTGGATTCGTTCCAAGTACAAAGTAGAAGACAGGAAAGTCTAGTGCATGTTGGGAAGCGTATAGTATGTTTCCACCTCATTCAGAGGGGCTGTGGTGCTGGGAAGCCATTTCTATAGAGCTGCTTTGTGAAAGGAAGTTGTATGTGTTTAGAATGGCTACATGTATATATAAGAAAGGTAACTGCATATGCCATAGATTTGTGTATCATAAACATGTATGTCATAAGCAAATTTAATTGGGGGATACAACTGTCAGTGCAGCTATGAAGAATCCTCTGAATTCACTGTTGCAAGCATGTTGGTTGGCAATTTACGTATTAGCTCCAGAGGGAAAGAATTATGTCTTTAGCAGACAGGTGATGAGTCTTGGTACATTTTTGTGAGCCTAATCGATCTTCTCCTGTAATCACTAATTTTATCCCACCCTGCCTGTCCCCAAGATTTCCAAATGGAGTGCACTCAATCTTTTAAACATTCTGAAATGGGCAGTCATAGTCTGTCATCCTGCAGACAATAAATTTCCACTGACGATCCCTGCATGAAAGAGAGACAACAGAGAGGTGTTAGTGAGCCAGAACTGCACAAGATGCTATACAAGTAAGAGTAACTTTATACCAGGTACTGGTATGGCAAGAAAAACATCCGTCTGCCATTAATTGACCTTCATCTGAGTGCTCTGTGTTTTCAAGACCCAAAAGAACATTAAATATGTGTGATAGTTACAATTCCCTTACACTCCTTTACAAGATAAGAAAATCAGCTCTCTGAATAAGTAGGTCTCTGAAGACAATGAATCCTGATGGTGATCAGTCCTGAATTGACTTTTAATCAGTGACCAAGAGGAAAAGGATAATTCTGTCAAAAGTTATTGTCATGTCATACATTGTTCAGTAATGTGTAAAAGGTGAATAGTACTTGGGTGATTTTAAGCTATGTCTAAGAGGGGAGTTATCCATACAGCAAATATTGATTTCTCACCCTTGATCAAATCACATGTGAGGAAGAGTAACATTTTTGAATTTAAGGAGAGTTTGTGCTCTTCTCAGTTTGTGATTGGTATTCTCTCTCAAGAGAGCGATAGGAAACCTAACAACTGTTAGTAGGAAGCCTGACTGGAGCAGTGGGATTCAATAGTGGAGGCCAGTGATTTAGTGTCCAATAGTCACAACAGGCTACAAATTTAATTTCCTCTGTAGCTTATTGTGCATTAAATTTTCCTTTGACAGATAAGCATGAGATCAGAGGATGAAATACAGTCCTGCTGTGAAGAGAATGTTGAATTTAAGCAGCTTGATACTGACTAACTTGAATTTAGATCCAAACTACAATCCTTGCAGATGACAGTTGTCATTTATATTGATAATGGCTAGTCCTCCAAGAGGTTTCTGAAAGTTTGAATTCTGCTAATAGTGATGATGTCCTAAAGATGAGGCATAGGATGGGTAATGTTGGTAATGAGTGATTTAATAGGAGTTTGCATTTTAAGACCCCTCCACCAAACTGGTGCCAGACTGCTGCCTCTTGGGAATGTGCTGAGACCCCCTGAGCCCAGATTTTGGTATTAACTGTGCTCAAATGGTGTCATTGACTGGGTGACTCTGTCCTGGAATAAGACTAATTTGACTATTAAGCCCTGTAGGTATACATTTTGTATCTACCCTGTAGGTATAAAATGTCTCACTGCAGCTTTTGTTAACTGAGGTTTTTTAACTGGAAATTTACTGTGCTGCTAAGCTACAAGTTTATCCTGAGGGTCATTTGGAACTGGGTCTGTGTCATGCTCATCAGCAAGTATGATGCAACAGTTATATAGTTTGGCTTTGGTTTTCTTTAGATCTTTCCTAGATGTTTTAAGTTGTAATTTCCTTGTAAAATTGTTACCAAAGGTTAATGAAATGCAAGATTCATTTTTAGGTTTATTTTAAGAATGAACCTTAAAATTATTTGGTCAATGTGCATGCTTTTCAAGGACAGTTATTACTCTTTTGTTCACTAAGTTACCAAGAGAGATAAAAAAATAAAGAGGATATCTTTGTGGAAAACAGAATTATACGGTCAAAGTTAAGGTCTGCTAAGATAGCACCCATTGTCAGAGAGACTTTTAGCTCAAAATCTTAGATCAAGTAGGTTTTCTAAAATAGGACGTGAAATTAAAAGTCAAGCTCTTTAAAAGAAATGTATTTTAGTCACCTGAATTAATATTATGCTTTAAAATACTGGAACAGAATTATTTCTGAAGCTGTCATTTCAGCTTGGATTTGCAGACACTAGCATATATGTACATGGTTGATGCATTTATGGCATATTACCATTTTTTCTCCTTTTACTTGTGTTTGAATTCAAGCATACATGCCCAGCTTCTCAGGATGCAGGCAATTACTTTGTACTATTGCTGTTGTGTGCTTAATTCGGTAGTTATCAGCCTGTTTCAATTTGTAGATCTCCTAAAAGTTTACCAATGGGGATGCAGATGCCATCAGGAATTGCCTTATGAATATATCTGAACTTGCCTTTGCAGAATATATCTGAACTTGCCTTTGCAGATCTTAACACCAGTAAGTAGGTGTCATCCCCTCCCAGTTGCTAAATTAATGCATTTTCCTTGGCATTGGGAATCAATATTGAACTGTCTCTTTAGCTTTCCAGCTGTCATGTCCTGTCAGATTTGAATTTTTGATGTATAGAGAAATTTCTTTTATCTCCAAATATTTTTGAATAATCTGTTTCCAATTAAGTTAAAAAATTCTGTGAATTCTTATTCAGATTGAGTTTGACAAAATCCTCTTTCACTGGTCATATGAAACATATTAGGGACCTTAAATACCCTATAATTTAGCTCAGCTGAGCTTGGTGGATGTCCAGCTTGTCTGGGTATTTCAAACATACTTTACTGTTGGGGTATCTGGCTGTCGATTTGTTTTTCAGTGATGATGTCTGAGCAGTTAAGAAGTAACTGGCTATACAGATGACCCAAACAAATGGAGCAGAGAACAGTTTTGTAAAAGAAACGAGCTTATGACAGCCTTCATGTGCTATTTTAATACTACATAGCAAAGGACAAGCTGTGGCTCTTTCCAAGAACACCTGGTAATTCCCACCTTCCTGTCCAATGTACTTGCTGCAGGTTGGGTTGTGAGTGTTCCAGTAGTGCTCTCTGGACCAGGAGACTGTTCCAACCAAATCACAGCCACCTAACAATGCTCCACCAGAAAGTCATGCCATCATGACCTGGCATGTTTCAGAGCTCAGGCTGAAGGTATTATGCTGTTCGGTTTGTGGGTTTAATTTTGGAAGCTATTTTGCCAAGGGTTTGAAATGTGCATGTGTATGTGGGCAGTTTCAGTTGTTTACAGCCTTCTTCAGATAGCCCATATCCTTCTCTGAAATTTGACTGTATCAGTCTGTCTGATACAGATACTGCCCTTTCCTGCAAATGTTCCCTTATTTATGTCTTTAGGTCATCCTGTCTGCATCAGTGTTATCACCACACTCCTGAATGGGCTCCCAGAGATACTTCAGGCCTTTTCTAATTCTTTCCAGCTGCTTTTGTCTTGCTTTATAGACAGTTGTTTTCTCCTTTTGACCCATTTAAAATGAGACTGGAAAATGTAAATAGTAACCACATCTGAAGTCTGTTCTTCCCAAACAAGCAGTTAAAACTTTTGATAATAACTACAAAAATAACTCTTTCATTCTTTCCTGCTACACAGGCATGGAAACTCAGACAGTGATTACAGAAGCGTTGGTGGGGATAGCATCATTCTAAACTTTCTTTGTCCTTTGCCACAAGCATCACATGCTGTCTCAAATATCTTTGTATAAACAGTGGCCTCACTGATGCAATGTCTTAGAGAGTAGGAAGGGAAGATATGATTTCTGCAAGTTTATTGAAGAAGTCTAAAAATACCTACCTGTTTGAAGTGATTGGGAAAGTTTTAACTGAAATACGTTCAGAGGCTTTTTCTTGCCTCTTGTTAGCTCAAGAACATTGTCCATATGAACTAAATAGTAGGGACACAAGTTTAATGTGCTTGAAAAGAGGAATTAAAAAATGTTCACAAAAACAAGTGGAAATGTGCATGCTCCAGGCAGGCTGAGATCGGAAGACCTTTTCCTGCTCCTATTCTGCTTCATGAGCTGCAAAGAATCATTAAGGATGGCAAATTTGCTGACTTTTGTGATTCATCCTGCTCAGGAGGAGTGTTACAGCCTGAATGTGAATTCTGAACTGGTGTAGCAAGATTTTTTTTTTCACTTCATTCTCTTGGCAACACAAATGGTTTCTGGTTGTTCTGAAAGCTGAGGACCAGAAAGTTCATTGGTACAGAAAACTTTTCAAGTTTGCAATTCGTAAAATATTTTCTCTGTAGTTTCAACCTGCTAATGTTGCAGGTGTATGACTGCCACCAGAGCAGAGATAGGACAAAGGTGTGCTGGTGGCTTCTTCCTCTTCCAGGCACTGTGGTCCTGTGAGGACCTTTACTCCCAATGTACATTCTCATGACGCTGCCTTTGCTCCAGTCACCCCACTGCCACCCTCTTCTGAAGGCTGCCTTTAGCAGCCAGAGACAGCAATCTGCTCAGAGGCATAGGCTACCTTGGCTGCTTTGCTTTCCAGGCCTGTCTTTGTGGATTCCAGACATCCACATGCGATGGAGTCTGGATTCCAGCTGCAGAAGAATGCACTGTCTGCATTATTTCCCCTACTCTCTGCCACAACCATGAGGAACAAGGATTAAGGATAGCACTGGGAAATATTTAAGATGAAAAGCCCAGAATGGGGCTGTCCCTTATGACCTTGTAATTTCTTTATCTAAAGCAATAAATAGATACCATTGAGTCAAGTATCTATGAAAGTTATTCTTCCACTTGTTGGAAGAATTTGCAGACATGGCTTCCATTTGGTAATGAACAGGATAATGTATTTTAGCCAGGAAATTATAGTTATGGACCTGTAGCGGTCTTACAACATGTTGTCATTCTGGAAAAGCCTCCTTATTTTAGGTTGAGGGATCCCTATGGTGAACTTTGGCAAGCTGAGAACATTACAGTGACAAAAGCACTTTGGCTGCTTTGAGTGTTATTAGAGAGCACTTGAAATATTGATGTCATTAAATTCCCACTTCTCTCTTCTCTCCCCCTTCTCATGTAGCCCATCTTGGCAGAGCATTGCAGCACTCCTTACCTTGCTGTCTGTATTCTGCTTGATAACAAAGGCTTTAATATATTGGGCTGAGGTGCCAAACAAAGGACATCAGCAAAGAAATAGCTCACTATTGATGAATTAGAGGGCAGCTTAAAAGAATCAAGATCCCTCTCCCACAATCAGGTTTCAGTGACTGCTCATACTCTTCTTAAACCTGCTCTGTTAGGATCTGTGTAGCCCTAGGCAGACTACAGTGTGGGATTTATGTTAAACCCAAAGTTTAAAACTTTGCAGTTGTGCATAGTAAAAAGGGAGAAACATTCCTTTTTAACTGGACAGAACAATTGTGAATCCATTTGCATGACTACAACTTTAATAGCCATACGGCCTCTCCCAAGAGGACTAGCAAATGCCAAGAAATGACCAGAACTGATCAATAAAATGTAGTTAACTCATTTTATGGAAAGGGATCAAGGTGCATGGCACAGCCTGAATTCCTGGAGTGGCTGGAATCTGTTAGAATTGTGTTGAAATAGACTGGGCAGTTTAAAGCATTCACATTGCAGTTTGTACGGTATTAACTTTGCATGCTGGCAGATTCCCTGCGTCTCTGCAAAGAAAAGTGGACCAAAATAGGTCCCTCATTCCCTGAAGGCACAGGGTGTTTTTACTGAGCTCAATGAAATACGCTCCAACTAGAGGTAGGTGAGAAAGCATACAGAAGATCTGTTGCATTTGGTGAAGGTCAGATTCAGCCCAACCTACCACTGCTGTATTTTTCACTGCTCAGATGGACATGGCAAATGATCCCCATTAGCATGCTCTGCTCCTGATGCACGACTCTGGACAATGAATCATATGTACTGTGAACTTTGGTCCCCAGAATTCCTAGTGCTTTGCTAAGTACCACAGCAGATGGTGTGTAGCCATGCTCTGTTGGAGGGAAATAGAAAAGACAGGCATTTTAAAGTTTCTAATGAAACATGTGAAAAGCAAACCTGTGCACAGCAGAGAAAGTTGTGGTTGCCCCACGGATGTAATAGTCGTAAGTGTACATCATCATGTCCATATCTTCTCCATAGTGTCCTGGATATTCTGTTGTTAACCTTTACATTAAAGAAAAAGAAGATAATATAATTTGGCATCTTATACAAGAGTCCAGTTGAATGACTACAATTCAATTAGTAGATTTCTCCTGCGTCTTTGAAAGTTCTTGTTTCTTAACAGCACTACAAGATGCAGTCTCACGAGACTGCCTTTCTCCTCTATGCCACTAATTCAGGTAGCTATTTGAATAAAATTCAGCAACTTTACAACAGTTAAGAGCAAAGTGCAGTATTGGAATATATGTATATACATCTGCAGCTCTGGGATAAAAGCAATCTGAACAAGAAGATAAAACTTGTCTACTACTTATGTCTTTATTGCAGGGATTTGCTCCAGCAAATTTTCCTCTTGTGAAACTCTTTGGTTTGCAGCTGTAGACCACAGTAAATGTTGCCAAATAAGACAACACTAAGCATTTATCCATGTATGAATTGTATTAAGTGAATGTAACAATTAATCCATTACTCTTTGTTCTTTCCTCTCTGTGCCCAATTTATAATGTAAAAATATGGGCCTGAACAGTATTTGTGCAGTGTAATTGATCTGAGGACCTCAAAGTGCTTATTCAATTATTAACCAAATTAAGATTGCTGCTTCCCTGGGAAATAGGCAAGTAATACTGCAATTCATTTTACACATAATGAACAGATTCAGGAAGGGGCTGGAAGCTTGACCAGTACTTTCTGTCAACATTATATTTGAAGTCTGAATGGAAGCCTGGCACTCCCTGTATTACACCATTTTACATGGGTGCTCCTACTGGAGTTGTCAGTCTCACTATGAAACAGCAAAGAGAAGCATCAGGTTCCCCATGAGGGAGATGCTGAACCTGTGGAAATAAACAGCCCAGCTCCTGTTGAGACTAACAGGGTTAAGACACATTTACAGAAATCCTGGCAACCTTTTTCTGACTTAATCCTGCCCAGCAGCAGTACTTGAATGATGCTTGAAGGTGATTGAAGCACATTCCAGCCAGCACTCATGCATGTTTACATTTTGTTAACTCAGTAGAGTCTAAGCACAGGCTTAAATACTTTACTCACTAGGAATATAGTTTTTGGGATGGGTTTGAGCTTTTATTAGGTGCTTTGGGTGTATTTGGAGCTCAAATCTATAACTGCTGGAGAACTCAGAAGCAGAAAGTTTACCTGAAAACTGAGGTACTCTGGGCTATTAGGTTGCTTTCCAGGTCATGCTCAGCTTTTGAATGGGAAAGATCATTCAGTTAGAACATCATTCCTAATAAATCATTTTTCCTTAACAAATGAAAAATGTGTCTGCATATGAAACTCAAGCATGACCTTATAAGACCCTCAAGTCTAATCAGTCAACTTCTTTGAATATATCTTGTTCTCATGCTTCCTTTCCTTTGGCCATGAAAATCATCACACAGATTCTGACATTAAAGTACAAGGACACCCATCTCAGAGTGTGTTTGGAAAGCAGAAAGTCAGGCCTGGTCACAGTGTCTGTTCTCTGAGTTCTGACCAAGGACACACAGATGTGCAAAGCCCTTGTGGTGCTCTGCCATTGGTAAGAAATAACAGCAGTATTTCACAGGTCATGCAGACTAGGAGAAAGAGAAGAAACCATGAACACTGCTCACTCAGCCAAAGGAGAGTGCCCATATTTAGTTTACTAATTTGAAGCCTGAGTGTCTGATTGTGCATGTTCAGAAAATCCAGGGTCATAGAAGGTTTTAAAAATGAAGACCAGCTATGGACCAGCATTTAATTTTGCATTCTCCCATCAACTCCAGGTTTTGACACTTTGTTTAGCTACTATTATGAGAAACCTCTAAGACATGTGTTTATATATGTTCTACCAAATGTGTTTCAGAACATCTGTATTTGGCACTCAGCAAGGAAAATGTTCTGTAATCTTGACCAGTGGTATGTGCTGGGCAGATAAGACTGTGCACCACACAAGGTTAAAAAGCTGCTTTTTTCTCTACTCAGAAACAGAACTGAGAGTCAGTTCTTTGAACTTCTTTCGTGGGCCTCTCAGTTGAAAAAATAAATCTGATGACAAACTTTTGAATTGCTGTGGTCTCACAGACCTTTTGCAGAGGCATGCAGTGTTATTCTGAAGTGCAGTGTGAGTCTTCATTTAGCTTCCCTCTCTTTTCTTTCTGACTGCTGTCATCTTCCCCTCCCTCTGTATTAACTTCTCCACATCACCATGCAGCCTCTTAAGGCTCCTCCACTAAGAAATGTTCAAAAAGCAAATCTATGCAATCACCAAAAATAAATTATTTGGGGACTTGAGCTGCTCTGGAAGTGTGTCTTGTTTCATAGGCAGGTGCTTAGGGGCTACTTTTGTTCTGAAGAGAAGAATTATAAATAGTGCTATGACAGCATCGTTCAAGTTCACATGAGTCTGTGTGGTCTGTCTAATTAATTTCTCTTTGATGATTGCTGTACTCATTTCTGAAACTGTTTCCCTAAGCCCATGCATTTCAAGGTTGTCTGGCTTGCACCGTGTTCTTTAGAAGGAAATGCAATTGATCATCCATGTAGCAGGGCTCTGTGGTATGTCCCATTCCTTTTCTATTATCTCTATTTTTGGAATCCTGAGGGTAATTTACACAAAATGTGTCTGCACTTAGAGATGCCCTTGTGTTTAATGCATAGGGATAATCAGTATGTGGTTTTCTCATCATGAAAGGGAGAAAGGTCATTTAAGAACCCATTGAGGGCCTTCCCAAAGTGGTCTGCCTGACACAGGACAGTGGTTCTGTCAGTTTTTGTTGTAGCTTGGTCTGTACCCTTATTATCAAGTACTTAACTGAAAATGTTAAATGTTTTAGTCACTAATGAATACCAAGTGCATATCAACTTGTGAGCAGCCTACCATGGTCCTACAGACACATAATTTATTTTCTGACATGGTAGCATTTGTGAGCCACGTGTGGCAATGTATGGTTTGTACCCAAGAGGAGTGACAAAATGAGTGTGAGACACTTTTCCCCTTAGTTAGTGAGGATTTGCCAGCGCATGGGCTTTTCAGGTGGGAATAGCCATCCATAGTAACCTTCACAGTGCCCTGTAAGCACTTCTGGCATTGAACTCATAGAAAACAGAACTGGGCTAGAGGAGAAGTGAGAAACCTGGGAATTGCCAAGTGTCCAAAGTTGCTGCTGCTGTTTGGGGTGTTGTATGACCAAGCCAGGGTGCCTGTGGTTCCTGAGGGGGCAGGTGACAGGGGGCCCCTGGAAAGAGGCTGGCAAAGCAGCTGTGAGAAGATGTGTGTTATAGCAATTGTGGTCTCTAGGCACTGAGTAATTTGTAAGGCTGAGGGGTAGGGGCCAGCAGGGTGCATCTAGTAGAATTGTTTGTCAAACCCAGATACACACACAGGTGTTAAGTTTGGGGAAGGACTTGTAGGGGAGAAAAGAGTAATGTGAGACCTTTAACAAGTGGTAGTCTTTTCAGTCTGTATGATCTGTTTGCAAGAAAATACAGAAAACAGGAACTCTTGTTCAGCTTTTCAAATCTACTTCTGGATAGTACCAGGTGTATGATGTTTGGGCACAAGAGACTTGAAGCACCAGTGACATTGTTGAGAGAGGAGAAAGAAGGGAATTCAGTGTTCACAACTGGGAAAGGAAATCTTATGATAAGGGGTGTATGTAGTTTGGCCTGTGAGCAGGAAAAGTTGACAGAAAAAGGTATTTTCATAATGGCATTTTTACCTAGAATAGTGTTGATGTGGAATGGTTTATCTTTTCAGTGTTTTACATTGCTCCAACCATCCCTACATTTTTCTGATGTATTTCACTATAATCATATAAATCTTGCTCAGGGTAGGATATGTACTCAAAAAAGGCATTAATTCTTTACCAGGGTTACTGTTGTTTTTATTTTAATCTGAAAACAGCTGTATGTTTATTTTCCATGGTGAAGAATTGCTATGGTAGAGATTAATAGAAAACACAGAGTTACTCATTTAGCACTGAGAAGAAAGTTTTGTACTAATCTACAGTGATCTGTGGCACTCTTTTCACAATTGACTTCAGAAATAGTTATCATGAGTCCATTATTTGCCAATAAGAAGATCGTCACACTGGTAGCCTTAATATGTACAACCTGCTGATTAAAGAAATAAATGAGAACTGGGTATGCCTGGCTTTCAGATGCCATGCAGACAAAAGAAATTAGTCTTTTAAAGTATGAGAGATAGTCAGTGGTAGAACAGTTTCTGTCTCCAATTGTGGAGTATACTTATTCCCTGATCAAAAGTACATGATTTTGGAATGTCTTACGCTGTTCACTTCTTGTGCAACTACAATGCTAACAAGATGAATGGCTTCTCTTTAACCTTCATTCCCCTCTTTGTGGCTGAACTCTTCCTCAAACAATGCCACAGCCAAAAGAAAGAGCTGTTTCATTTTAAGAGGAAGACATAAGCTTTAACATTAACTTTCTGACATTTGAGGACAAGGAGTGTCTCCTGACATTCCTTACTTTATGGGCTTACTTTCAGATGTTGTTTACAAGTGCTTCAAGAGTATGTCTTTCCTAAAGGAGAAATTTTGTTCAAGAGCCACAAGCCTGCAAGTTACATTCAATGAACATCAGAATTATACGCCTCTTTAATCAATTTGAACTCTTCCTCCAGGTGGAAGACAGAGGTCATCTGCTTTAAAATATGCATCCTAAGCTGAAAAGCCAAAGAAGGTCTTAGTAAGCTGTCTACAGAAATTCCAGCAACTGCTCTGAGTACAAATCCCAGATTGCCAAGCTGCCAGGGAACTAGAGGTGTCCTGGAGCTCCTCTAGAGATGAGAGGCTCTCTTGTGTGGCCATGTCATGTGTTTTGGGATTGAGTTCAGGCTCCAGGCTCTGAGCCCATAGATTCACACAGACACATCACTGCTGCTGTGTTCCCACTGTGTTGCACTGAAAGCCACATACCCTTCCAGGGTTGAGGAGCCACAAGGCCGGAGGCTGGCACAGTGGGACCAGAGCTCTTCCAGGCCTGCACGAGCTTGTGTAGTGCAGGTACAAGCAGCAGCAGAGAGCTCAAGGCAACTTGTGCCTGCTCCTCAAGAAATATATGTCCAAAATAACTTGGCCAGATTTCCAATGTCAGATCAAATGTGTTTCTCCTAAAATGTCTCTGGAAGATGGTCCTGCCAATTGAACTTCAAGGTTGTATTTGATGGGTAATAGCTAAAAAAAAATTAAAAAAAAAAAATCATCAACCTCCCCCAGCAGTAAAATACCTTTTTAACAATGGAAAAGGAGGAGAGGGGAATTGGGTTGTCCAGAACTACATGTTTCCATGACATCTATTCGGTGTTCACCTCTTGGATTTGTACCTCTGCTACTGGTTATCTTTGAGAAACCTGCATAGGATCACATCATTTACAATGTGTCTTGTGTGGCAAGTTGAGTCAGGAAAACAAATAAGTGCTTTAAACTCCATAACTCTTGGGAAATGTAATTGTTGCCTGGACAGTGTCACCATGACAGAGAACAGCCACAGCTCCAGACAGACCTTCTGGCATTTAAACTGCTCGTTGTTTCAAGAAGGGAAACAGTCATAAACAGTCTGCAGACTTGGGGCTGCTCTGTGACATGTGTTTGCTTTTCAGAGTATGGAGTCAAGCTTTAGTTTCCTGGCAAAGAGAAAAATCGGAGCTCTAATGGGACCACTTAGTGACACTGTCTCTGCATCTGTGATAAATTTGCTTCCTTTGTGGTGCAAATCAGTAGCATTCCCTAGCCAGGTAAAGTAAAGGGAGTTTTTCTGCCTCCTGTGAGGAATGTTAATTATTTTCAGTATGTTAAAAATGTGCAGAATCCATGACAAGTCTTGGCATAATGAAGAGGGAAACTAAGTACTTGTAAAAAAAATTAGAAAGTAAGTGCAAAACTATGAGACTGGAAAAGATTATTAAATTTATTTTCAATATGAGCTTACTGCAGAGGAAAGCTGGGAATTAATGGTGAGAGGACTAGCTGAAACAGAACTACTGGGTTCAAAGATAAGAATATAAATGCTAACAAATAAAGTCCTTCCACATGTATTTGACTTCAGTCATTTTATTAAGCAAAGTGAAGACAAAGCATTGGTTTCAGTCAGCATGATGATGTTATAAATTTGTATCCCAACAAATACTAGCAGTTGTCAAAAAACACAGGGATATTCTAGGTGTAAAAAATAGGGCAAATTCTAACAATTCTGTTGCATGGCTCATGCACATAAGGAAAACCTGTCTTTATTCATTGTAGGGTCATCTCACTTCAGGAGGAATGTAGTCCTGAAGCAGAAGAGACAAGAGAAACCATACATAAGGATCAGCTGGTTTACTGCTTTTATATGTACCAGAGAGGCCTGTATGGAGACAAGTGGAAGAGGAAGGAATCAAATACTCAAGGTGAGAGCTAATTTGAAACAGTTTTGTCACACCTCAATATTGTCAGTTTTCTTTAAAATGCATTTCTGTCCACATCTGGTTTCATACTTAAGGATACATTACACATTAAAAGTCAAGGCTGCTGAGAAATTCTGCAGTGTGGATTTTCTTTGAATATAGATTTTCCTGTCTAATGATCCACAAAGTACCACCATCATTGCATACTTTCCTGGTACTACTTTTCCAGTAATATTCATATACTAATGAAGTAGTATGTTTCATGCCTTTGCATGAAAATAAGCCTCTCCAACCAAAAAATAGGAGTCAGCAGCATGTTGATTGGAAGTTCTCCACTGTTACTTTATTTACAATGAGTTCCTGGAACAGAACAAATACTATTATCGTTTGGGGCAGAAGCTGCAATAAATAATGATACACTACACACACACATCTTTGTTGTGTCTCACATGCATATACAATGTGAGGTCTTACTCATGGTAGCCCAGAACTAATTTGCAGTTTGTTTGGAAAACATATTCTTCCTGTCAAGTGCATGTTAACTATTGCAAGATACAGACCAGAAGTGTGATGTGTGAGCAAAGTCTTGTGACAATAACTTGGAAATGCCAAGGAAAGTTATGTTGTGAATGAGATCTCCTGGGCTTAGGGGACAGGAAGTTTGGTTTCGGTACACTGAAATTTAATAACTCAGACAAGTCACATCTGTGACTTTATGAGTAAAAGTGAGTCCAAAGTATGGGGTTTCACACTCCCCTGGTGAAGTTCATGTTGGCAACTACCAGTACTTGCCCAGAGTACTACTACACCGTCTAGGCAGGGAAAGAGAGTAAACCAGAAAAGAAACCATTCCTAGCTGATGATAGAAAAGAGACCGCTGTTTTGGAGGAGGAGAGACTTTATCTGTGTGGTGTGGGTCCTCCAGTAAAAAAGTCCTTCTATGTGGGACTGCAGGATAGCTCTGGTGGAAAAGGACTTCAAGAAGTCTCTGCGACAGCTCTCTGCTCCAAACAGGGTCAACCACAGGGTCAGACCAGGCTGCTCAGCTTTTATTTGGTTCAGTCTTGAAAGCCTCCAAGGACCGTCAATAGGCAATCTATCCTCATAGAAGAAGCAGTTTTCTTTACATCCCACCGAACTGGCAGTCAGTCCTGCCCTCAAGCATGTCAGCTGCACCCCCCAGTTTGGCGTCATATGCAAACTTGGCCAGCATGTGCTCTGTTGCCTCCTCAAGATCATTGATAGAGATATTAAGCAGGACAGGCACCCAGGCAGGGTATCAACCTTTAACCACTGCCCTCTGAGCCTGTTAAACCATTATATTTTAACCCATCTAGTTGTCTGTCCTTCCAGACCCTAACATCCTAATTTGGATAACTGTATGTGGAAATAGCTTATATACATACACCTTGCTAACTATAGAGGCAGAATGTTTTTTTAATGAACCCATAATCACAAACTATGCACCAGAAGCTTTTCACAAGCCAGTGACACAGTTTCCTATCAGCCAGTGACACAGCTTCCTACCAGTTTTACAGCTCTCCCCTCCCAGAAGAATGTGAGTACATAGGATTTCTACCCTCCTAAGAGGGAAAAACGCTTCACCTGCTTTTGAAATGCTGCCTTTTCTGCATGGAACTGCAGGTGAACTACATAAGGCTTTCTTTCTAAGCTCAAAAATGGAGTGTTGTCACTGTTGGAAATAGAAGGGCAGTATAGGAGTCTGTACACAGCTGAGATGAAAACCAAAGACTCCAGTAACCTCAAACATTTTCATTAGGATTTGCCTTACTCTGAATGCCAACTTGCAAAGCAGAGACAAAGCTGTTCTCAGTTGTCAAGACAACATCTGAGGGAAGTAGAACTGTCAACAATAACAAAAATGTCAGATTTCTGTTGTCTCTCTGAAAATGTATGCAATATTAGAGGAGTACAAGAGATTGGAAGAACTGCTTAAAAGTCTGAGTTTCCCTCAGAGGGAAGAGCCTGGGCAGGTATGTAAATAAGCCCCCAGGTAGGGAACATACACAGGCAATGTCTGCTGGAAAGGAGGCAGAAGAATGTTCAGAAGAATGTTCAAAGATTTTGTTACACAGTTCCTGTAATTTAAAGGCATTAAAAATAATAATAATAAAAACATTTATTTTCCACCTGGCTGGAAGGAGACTGAAGGATGAAAAGCAAGGCAGTGCTGTTGTGTTTGGCCGGTAGCCAGCCAGCCAACAGGCACATAAACAGTTTGTATGTATCTCAATGGGAAGCCTCCTTCAAAACTGAGGTGTGGAAAAAGGTTCAAGCACAGGTTTACTTTTTTCTTAAATGTAGACAGGTTATTCTTTGTATCGCTGAAAATAGCTAAATTTAAGCTGAATGTAACCCTGGAGCATAAAATGATGGCTTCTCTTGAACAGAATGGACAGGAGAAATACAAGCTGCCTCTACAAAATCTGCTGCTGTCTTTGGTTTTAATTTAGAGAAACCACACCTGTGGTGCATTTTAGAGAAACTGGTAAGCTTGGGATTTGCAGCTCATTTTTTCACAGTCTCCATTAAGTCGCCAGCACTATTTGTGATACTCTGCTGAGACCACGTTTTTCTTCTGGGTTTATGATCAGTGGCTCATTTTGACTTTGATCTTTAAACATTTTTGAGAGAGAAAGCATAGTCATATGCACTACTAATATTTTTTCTGAGGTAAGTGGTAAAAGTTCAGTCTTGTAAGTCATTGTTGCACAAATGTGTAGCACAGAGATGCTCCTACTCCAGTAAATATGCTGGATTTATAGTAGGAAAATATCACTCCACTTTGGAGACTTCTGTCATGGTTTCCAGCACAGCTTGGCTGATGCTGATCCCTAGACCTGTTCACTGAGGGCCAGCTACTGCGTTGTGCTGTTCAGTGTAACTGCACCCTTATTCTTTCCCTTAGCCTTGGATCCTTAAGAATCCTGTGGCAGACTGGAAATAACATGCTTAGCTCCATAAAACACAGTTAACTCTTTTTCAGACACGGTTTCTGACAGGTCAAGCAGCCAAAGGCATTGATAGGGATTGTTGGGAGAAAGAAGATCACAGGTTTGGTGTCTGCTTGAACTCACCAGCAGGAATATGGGCACCTCCGGCTATAGCGGCAGCAGTAAAATTGCCATTCACGGTCCAGCACTGATGGAAAATACTGACTCTGGAAACCAGCCACTAGCCCATTGTTTGAGCAGGTTTGATACCTAATAATGAGGGTAAAGAGGAGAACACAAAGAAAACATGGTATTAGATTCCTTGATAGTTTCAAGCATTTCTCAAAACAGCATCAGCATTTTTGACATAGAGTGCAAGTTGAGGGTTTGACTTTGTGCTGAGAAGCACTGTTTGCACTTGCTGTGTATAGAGTAACAATTTTCTATAAGAAAGCAGCAGTAGTTAACCAATGTCTTAGCATTTATGTTGCACTTAAAACTATTTAATCTGGCTAAAGTATTTAAATCATTCTAGTATGCTTACCAGGAAAGAAGATTCTTCTGGTGTTATTATTCTCAACTGTTTACAAATCATAAGACTGACTTCAAAATAGTCCATTAGTATTTTTGTCTATGACTGTTGGTCATAGGATTTGGGTTTTATTGAACTAATCTTTTCAACTACTTCTCTACCACAATAAAAAAAAAAAAAAAGCTTGAAAGCTTGAGAAGCTATTTGTAAAAAGAAGTTCATTAACTTTTTTAATTGCTTGCTTTCACAACTATGTCTCTAGGAGAAGGGATTCTTTATTAAAAGCATTGGCTTATGATGAAATCATTATTTGATAGCAATCACATAGTGAAAACTGTGTTTCAGATGTTACATAATTTTGAGAGTCACACAAAGTTTATGACTGGATTTTCAAAAGAAAAATATGCTGCTTCATGTTTTCTGTGTGCTCAATAATTCTATCATACCTGTGAATCACTGCCTCCAGGCAGAATAGACATGGTCTCAAAGCATGCATGCCTCTGTCTGCACACCCTTCAACACTTTAACACTGATACCCAAAATAATTCAAGTGGTAATCAGTTTGAATACCTTGCTTCTTGGAGACTAAAGACAAGGAGCCCATGAAAACAGACAGGTCAGTGGTTCAGCTATCTGGCGCTCATTCTCTCTAGCACCCTCCTGGCCTCACTGTTTCCCTATCCTGAAAATTATAGGAATGCTGTTTCTTCCATCAATTTTCCTTTTCTTTCTTTTCCTTTCATCAAGGAAAACCTGTAGCGAACTTTCTCTGCGATTTCTTAAAATCAATTACAATGATCTATCTGAAAGAGACTTTCAGAAGTAACTGTATGTATAACAATTACCAAAAATCTCCCTTAGTTTCATTTAATGACCTCATAATTTATTCTAAAGACCTGAAGTACCCAGAAGGGAACACACATCATCTAGCGGAGTTTAGTGTTTGGAAAGTCATTCACTTGTGCACAGGGGTGTTAGTGCTTGCAAAGACAGCGTGAGGCTGAAGTATGCAAATCTGAAAAACTGATCAATTTTGACCAGTGCAGGGATGAATTTCCCTGCCTAGTTTTCAGCGTCCATTTTTGAACCGAAGGGTCTCTTCTCTGTCTCTTCCCCTTCGTTCTGTTGTTCAGACAAGAGTATTTACATTTGTTTGTGTCCCTGTATCTCCCATGCTGATGGGGCCACAGTACTTGTTGTGCTTTGTGAGACTCTTTCAAGGACCTTCAGAATTCAGTTGTGATGGGGACTCTGAGTTGCCATGGTATCACACCAAGTATGGCATTCTGGCTTTCACTCAGAGGATTTCAGCAGGGGTTTGATAGGAAGTTGTTCTGATTTTTGGCTCATAGGCCATAGGAACATACAGCTAAGACTCTGAGTAAACATATTGGATAGCTGCAGATGATTGGTGTTATCCTGATGGAAGAATGGTTGATACACAGCAGTATAGGGATTGGTTCTACCTGTTGCAAAATGAGCATTAAACTGTGTAAAATAGCAACAAATTTATGCCTCATCTTCCATCTCTCTCCCTTCCTATCTGCATTTGCACTGCTCAAGTCCTCATGCCCCTGGGAGATTTTTTAGCTCTTTTGCATAGGTGCAATGTAGGGAGGACTTTATTTCTCCATTTCCTTGGCATTTCCTCTCAGAAGCTCAACACTGCCCTGCAACTTCCCATCCTCACTGATCAGATCAACGTCTGATATTCCTGCTGACTTGTCTTTGTGGGAGGTTCTTCCTTCTTTTCTCTTCCCACCTGTTGACATTCAGTCTGAGAAGTCCTGTACTCTTTGCCTTTGTCCTATTAAAGTTTTTATTTTCCTGACATGTTATATGTTATAAGTAGAAAAAGCTGCCAATTTTTTTTAAAAGCTTGCAGAGTGTACAGGTTGGACCAGTTGCTGCCAGGGTGGAGTTCTAACTGTTATTGTAAACACCAGTCGTTTTCCTTAACTACTCCTTATGTATCAGTACCGCCCTGCCTAAAGCCAGGTTGATGGCCCTTCTCGGACAGTGCAAGAAGAGACATTGGAGTACATGCAGATAACCTCAGACCCAGAATGCAATGAGAGACGATCCCCACCAAATTTACCAAAAGACCCCAAAAACAATGAGCCAACACAGAATTAAGAGATCAAAGTGATGTCTGGACGTGAGGAGCAAAGTACAGAGCCTGCAGAGATGCTGACACCTTTGTTTGCCCCTTGCCCTAGCTAAGAGGCCCTGGCTAGAGCCTAGACCCTGGGAGGCAACCCCAAAGTTGTAACCCGGTGTCGGGACCCTCAGCTTTGCTCCCTAGTGGACAAAGCTGCACTTTCCACTTCCTCCAAGCCCATTCCTGGGAGACCACGACAGTGAGACTGCAGACCTGTTGAGCCTCCCAACCTTGAGCTGATCTCTTTTAATAAAGGCATTAAAAAGGAGATTATTTCATTATAGACGGTAATAAGATGATTGGCTCTCGCAATTAAAAGATAACTATTGTGTAAATATTAAGAAAAGCTTTAGTGATGTACAGTTATGTTACAGTAGTTTAGACGTCCTCTGTTCTCCCCATGGTTCCCTTCCCCCCCTCCCGTGTTGTGACCATCAGACAGCCGGGGTTGTCTAGGACAGAAGCTGTGCCACGCACCCCTTGCATGGGGCAGCCGGGAATGGAAAAGCTTGGTGCATAGGGGGTGTGGCATGGCAACACCTGATCTCCAATCAAGTTACAAGAAAGCAGTCTCCACCGATAAATGGCAAAGAAGAACTGACAGACAGACTTTGGGAGGAGCCAGAGCTGGCTGATGCAACCCCCAGGGGTATAAAACACTGGGCATCCATCTTGAAGATGAACTGGCCATGTGGTATCTATGATGGCAGTTCCCAGTACTGCAGCTTTTTCCTTATGTAGTCCTTTGTTGTATTTTTGTCAAGGTTTAATAAACCTTTTTAAATTTTCAAAGTGAGCCATTGTTTCTCACAGGACACATTATTTTCTACTAATATAGTAGATGTGATGGAAAGATTCATTTTGAAAGAGATGTCACTCATGGACTTCTCTCTGTAGTGAATTGAGAAACAAACCTAGCTAGCAAAACACTCATATGTTTACATGCACTCATATTTAAGTACCAGATTTTAGGAAGTGTGGTTATTTTTTATTCTGATTCTATCTTCTCATGATAAGTTTGATTAAAAAATATAATTGGTGTTGCCTTAAAAATTAGTTTCTTAGATGAAAAGTGTACCTGGACGTAAGTAATGTTTTATAATTAAATTGCATTTTTGTTTTAATGTAATTCAAAGTAAAATTTGAAATACATATTAAAGGCCATATTCGATTCTCTCTGTTTCTGTCTCATACACAAGGTCCTGTAATCTTTTATTCGAGCTCAGTATTTGGTTTAACAAAACCGAAAGATAATAGTGATGTTGAAGTACTTTTCTTTAGCTTTGAGATAATGTAAGATTATTTGCTGTAATCTTTCTAGTTTTCAAGTAAAATCCAGACACTCCTTCAAAAATGAAGAGATGCTCTCAGAACTTGGAGTGCTTATTTGTGAGGTCATATAACATATTTCCTTCCCTTTTTTTTTCCCAGATGACCACTTTCCTACAAGAAGAAAGTAATTCTTCAAGGGAAACAAACAACCCTCCTCACACACCTTTTCAGTCAGTTGCTCTATGCACTAATCTGAAAACAACACTTAATATATCAGATTTTTTTCCTTCTCTGTTGAATTCACTACTCTTGAATCACAGCAAATCCTGAAGTAAGTAGGGTGAGTAGAAACTAGTGATTCAGGAACTTGGATTTATAGCCAAGTCAATATTTTTTTCACAAGACCCACTCTTTAGCACTTTTACTATAAAGGATAGTTGAGTATTCAGAATTAATCTTACCGGGTTCTCCTCACCCCTGAAATCTTGACATTGCTAAGAAGAGAAGAAAATGCCTCTTAGAAGGTGAATGCAGAAGAACGTGAGAAACTGGCTGGGACTGTGTGGGATTAAACTTGGCAGTGGGTAGGTTTTCTTTTTCTAGTTGGCTCAAGTTGCCAAGTGTGAAGAGTTGTCTTTTGGATCTGGTACTGGGAGAAGAGGAGGCGAGCTGGTTGGTGGGGGGGAGTGAGAAGATTGGTGGCAAAGATCAGGTGCTCTTGGATGGGAAATTGCCCTTGCCTTGGGTACAGGTGTGGGAAATGTCTGCAGCATTCCATAGAAAGTCTTATTCTGGGAGGACTTCTGTGTAGCAACAGGGATATGGTATCTGAGACATTCCTGGCCTGCTGTGATTCCTGTGATAAACCTCTCCTCTGCCAAATATTCTTCTGAACTGGTTAATGAGTGTTGTACAGCTGAGCTCTGTCATGGCATGCAATCAAAGCATGCATCCATGTTACAGATTTAGTTCAGGTCAGAACTGCTTTTGTTCTTCACTAGTGAGCTTTCATCTGTGAGACCAAAAAAGAGCTGGTGTGAAACAAACCCACCCAAAATGCATATGTGAATTTTGGATCCGTGCATTACCTGTTTCACCCTATAGTTCCTCTTAAATTGTGCCATGTTATGTGTGAACATCAGTAATAATCTCGGCAGCCAAGCGTGTTCCTCATTGGCTCAACAGACTGAATACAAACACTGCTTACAAAAATAGAATTGTTTTGAGTAATGGAATCAGTTTTGGTGACACTTCAGACTTACGCCTCCACCTTAATTTTGCTCTTTGCTACATAAAGCCCCAGAG